TCTGCACACTCTGGAATGCAGAGCAGCCATTTAGTTACTATTCATAAAACACACACAATCCAAAGAGCATACTGTATCTCTCGGTTAAGGCTATTAAAAAATTTACTAATGCATTTGGGGAAGTTAGGGGACTTGGGGCACTTTGGTGGAGGCGTTTTTTAGAAAAGATAAAGATGATCATAAACTTAGTTTCCTTAAGCACTATCAAAAGGTAAGACAAGAGTTCAAGTCTTAAATTTTTATGTTTGTTTAGGTCATTAATTTTGGCTTAGAAATAGTTTGATTATGGGCTCCATACTAACAGCTGCTGCTTTGAGACCTTGCGTTCTCTTAACCATTATTCTAAATACATACATCCAAAAATTTGCCAGACTTAAAAGTGACTGATCTGCTAAAATTAAGATGTAACTTTTTCAAAATTTCACTGAAATAGAAAGAGAAATGCCATCTCATATTTTCAAGAGTGAACCTTTTGAATTTGGTAAAGTAGGAAGCCATTTCCTCTAAGAGGCCTTTATTCTGTTATTGCAAACGCTTATTATACCAGACATTAGTGGAAAATGGGTTTCTCCTTCCTTCTAACAACAGCTGATTCCTAGGAAAAGCGGAGTTTGATGCAAACTGAAAACTAAAACAAGCTGTATTTTCAAATAAAAGACTTTCTCAGATCCACGAAGTTCATTCATGGAAAAGAAGACCACCATGAAGCCAGGTAGGTTGTTTTGTCTGTTTAAAGCCATTTGTGAATTTCTGCTTAAAAATGGTGTATTGTTGAGTTTATCTCTGTTCCTTCCAGAAAGAGTAAGACTAGAAAAATAAAATTGTATAAACTCACAGAAACAAGGTACAGAGGAGAGAAGCCACAGTGGGTGATGGCAGCAAGTATCTGGAAGAACAGGAAGCAGTAAAGAAGGCAGAACTGCGAAAGCGGAATGCCTAACACATGGAGAGAAGCGAGTCAGTTCTCACCATGACAGACCAGAAAATCCCAGCAGCTAGAGGTGCCAGGTACTGGAAAAGGCTGGGGTGAGCCTTGGAATGGAATGTAAGACAGGGGGATTGGCCCAAACTGCCTGACTACCACTCCCTACCCTGCCAACAGACTGAGGATGTGTTTTGTGGACTTATGTTGGCTCATTTTCTCAAGACTAGGGAGCCCCAGATATGAGGGCACATGAGGGAGAGGCACTGTGCTGAAAGCTGGTAGGTAAATGAAAATCTGCACACTGACTATTGAGCAAATGAATGCTGGCTGCAGGTGGATTTCTCTGAGGCACTGAATGGACCACAGGAAAGGCCTATGGATATTGACATCTGGAGGGCCCCCGTGAAACAGCAGGATCCACACCTAATCACTGGTAAAGTCAACATTCAAGAAAAGGAAAAGAATGCCCTCTTTTTCATCATTCTAAGGTGTTAAGTGTCTTAAATATATAAGAGAGCTAAAGGCCTCTCCAGGAAAGTCTAAACAGAGACCAAAGCAAACAGAAAGAGCAGATGACAGAAAAGAAAGCAAGCAAAGTAAAATAAAGCAATCCACCAGTCAACCATAAAATACAATATCCTAGGAGACATAAGAGATAATGCATAGAAGAAAGAAAAGGACACTTTAATGAAAGGCTGGGAGTGGCCGGCCATGGTAGTTCATGTGTTCAGGACTAGCCTTGGCAACATGGCGAAACCCTGTCTCACAAAGAAAATGCAAAAATCAGCCAGGCATGGTGGTGCACGCCTGTGATTCCTGACGCTTGGGAGGCTGAGGTGGCAGGATCACCTGAGCCAAGGAGGCAGAGGCTGCCGTGAGCTCGAGTTGCACAGCTACACTCCCGCGCAGGCGACAGAGCTAGGCCCTGTCTCAAAAACAAACAAACAAACCCAAAACACAAAAGGCTGGCGGAGAAGGTAGAGAAAACATCTCACTCCGAAAGCAAAGCAAAAAACCAAAAACATTAAAAATAGGGAAAAGAAAGAAGATTAGAGGCTCAAATCATTTCAACTCTTAGTAATAGCTCCAAAGAGAAAGAATAGAGAAAACAGGGAGTTGGGGGGTCCATTTAAAAAAATTAGGAAAAAAAAAAAAAAAAAATGGAAAAACATCTTCCAGGACATCAAGCTTTGGCTCTTCTGACTAAAATGGTTCACCAAGTGCCAAGCATAAAGAATAAAAGGAAAATCATACATAACACATTCCAATGCACACAATCCTGAAATACAAGAAAGCTGGAGACTTAAAAAAAAACGTTGTAAACTTGCAGATTGATCTCTTCCCTTCCCCTAAAAGGTCCACATATAAAGACTGAGAGAATAAGGATGGCACTGGACATTAAACTTCTACTACAACTTTGCAGGCTAAAGACAATATTGACCAGCATCTTCAAATTCAGAGGCAAAATTCGTTTTAAACTAGAATCCCATACCCAGCTAAACTAGATATCTGGGTGCAAGAGTAGAATAAAGACACTCAGATTTGCAAGGTCCTTAGAATACATTTTCTCAGGAAGCTATTAGAGGGCGTGCCCCATTGAGAAAAGGGTGTTAAGCAAGAAAGAGATGCAAAGGATCTGAGACATGGGCTTTTCATAGGAGAGAAATGAAGGGAAGGCTCAGGATGACGACGGTGGAAGAGTGCAGTTATAGTTCTTTACGACGTCCTGAAAGCCAGGACGGGTGTCTCCAGGAAAAGGTGGAAATGCTCACCAACTTAACATGTTGAATAGCGTGGAAATTGGTATTTAGAGACAGTCAGGTTAGCATACTTTTGGCTGCAAGTTTCAAAAGATCCAACTCAAAACTGACTTAAAATGGAAAATTGGGGTTAATTCTCTCACATAATCAGAAGTTCAGGGCTAGCACAGCTCCAGGAGTTAACTTGTTAAGCAGCTCAACATCATTAATGTTCCCTTTTCACGAACCCTTGCTCAGCCGTCCTTGGCATATTTGCTATTTCCTGTCAGGCTCCTAGCTTGTAGGCTGGGCTGAGTCCTGCATATACCAAAGCTGACGGGAAGGAAGGGGACTTTCTACAACCCAAGAGACCTAAGAAAACTCTCCCAGGAATACCATCTGTCTTCCAATTTTCACTGGCCAGGCTCCTTCCTAAATCCACCACTGATTTAAGAAATAGGCCCTCAGGACTGGTTCATACCAGTGCTCTTCTGCATAGGACACAAAAGGGAAACAGGTGTACAGCTGGGTGGAGTAATGGATGAGATTGTCAAAATCTCAACACATTCACAACCCACTCGAGAAATACTAAATTATAACAGTTAGGATATTTAAGCCACCTGGAAAGGAGTAGACACCAGAATAATACAGCAGCCTTGGTGGGCTAAAAAAAGAGGAAAATGGCTGTTGAGTAATTGCTAAGGGTGCCTTCATGAGAAGAATTTAAGCAATTCTGATGAAAAGTTTAGGAAAAATCAATAGAGATGTAGAAACTAAGCAAATGAAAATAAATGAGGCAATGACTAATTCCAGAAAAATTAAAACAGTAGAAGAAATGTAATGGCTGCTCAGTGCTTGAATCAATATTTAACAACATTTATGTAGGCATAACAAGGTAAACCCCGAACACTGATTTCATCAAACATGATGCAATTCTATTGGGAAGGGGGAGGGAAGAGGAGCGGGGAAGAGTGATGGTAAAAGTTCTTAATCTGCATTTCCTGTAATAGGAAGTCAAAAGAAAATAACTGCAACTGATAGATTCTAAAAAATTACATACACTGTATTTAGACATTTAGTAGAGCAAAGAGTAATTAGAAGTAGTCTGGAGAGGGCAAGGCAGGGGTGCAGAGGAAGGATTCCTGCTTCTACTATAAGCTTTATAAGAGTGCTCCCCAAATTATGTAAATATTATTGTATTTTAGTTTCAAGGATGAAACAAAGAGCAGTGGTTCTTTCCTCCGTTCTCTGAATGGCTCCTTTATACCGAGAACACAAATCACAACGTATTAGTCAAACGGAGAACACAAATCACAATGTAGTAGTCAAACAAATGCAAGTTCTACTGTTGCCTTTTCCTCGTTCTCCTCCTCATCCCATCCCAGTTCCTCCAGCTGTCCACCTGCACCCTCATATTTCGGTGATAGGAGAATCCATGTCGAAAGTTACAGGCATCAGTGCTTTTGCTTTTTGGGAAGGATTCGATACACTGTGGCAGGAGGGGTCTTGGTAGTTGGTGGGCTGGAGTAGTCCTGGGACCCCACAGTCTGGGCAGCAAAGGCACAGCCAATTCCCCAGCAGGTGTAACTGCAGTGACACAGGTTTGAGTGAGTACCCCGTTACATTAGACTACTTAGAGAAAGCAGCCAGATACTCATAGGCATGACTACATGAGCCTGACTGAGCCAACGATCCTTCTAACCTTTGTTGCTCAGACAACTGCAGTTTTAAAATACAAACATCCTACCTGCAGTTAAACTTCTGCACTATAATAAATTTCCAACTTCTTCCTTCTTATTTAAACTCTAGAGGATTTGACATTTCAGGGACAGTCTCAAGGGAGAAAGTCTAATCACAAGGAGCTATTTACTCGGAAGGCCCAAAATCAGAGGCAGGGAGAATTTTCCCGAGACCCTGATTTTAACACTGCAATCCACAGTGATCCCATAATTCATTTCCTTCTACGAGCTTAACTTATCTGAGTGGCTTTCAAACAAAATCTAGAATGGAACCGAATCCATAAAACAGCTAGGAATGCAGCTGTGGGCCCCACCCTGCCCCAGTACCCATTAACTTCCACTTTACTGTGCCCACGACTCCTTCTTGCTCTTCTTTTCCACATCCTGCCTTCCTCATGAAAGTCTTCCCAAGTCCCACCTTCTCCAGAAAGCCTTCTCAGACTACGCTCACGAAAGATACCTTCTTCCCTGAAATCAACTCGTTGAACTACACTTTTTATATTTAGTTAGTCCCACCATATATGAGTGCTAAATCTTTCACATTATTGCCTCACATAGTGATATGCTTACTATGTGCAATGTAACAGAGGAGACAGCTGAGATTTTTTAAAAGACCATTTTTAAAAACAATTTATATAAATAGATTCATAAACAAAGAAGAAACACATATACAGAGCACCCCAATTACCAGTACGGTGGACCCTAGCCCTTTTCTGCATTGGGAAACAGAACAGAGAACAGAACAAATGATTCCATCCTGCTCTTAACTCTTTCCACTTATGTGGTCAGTTTTTCAAGCAGAGTTTCTATTCCTTTGCTGGTGCTTTTGGTTTTTTCCAACGTAGGAATCAAGCTTTTCAGTGCAGCTTTGACTTTGTTTGCAACTTCTGGGTCACAACTCTGGAGGAGGCTGAAGAGAAGGAAAAAATTAAATTTCATAAGAACTCCTAGATTATCTCCAACACTACCTGTGCCCATAGTATAAGAGTTCGTTAACTGTGACACAAGTCTTAACTATATACACATTATTTTTCACTCAAAGGGTGAATGATGAGGACCAGCAGTCTATATTATAAGACCACAGAAAAAAATGTTTTAGAATCTTGCTGGTGGAGTCACCCAACCAAAGACATCCATTCCATACAGAGTTAGTCCCACCTTCCCTTTATCTCAGGACTGACTTACATCCTGTCTTAAAATGATTCTACATGTATTCTACCTTCCCTTCTCCATCTCAAGATTGTAAGCTCAACAGCAGGGACTGTATTTTATTTATTTCATGGTGCCACATGTATGGAGCAGACAGCCAGAAAATCCCCACCATGTGGGTGAATGAACATGTGTAAACAGAGACGCAGAGAAGTCAGAGTTAGCAGACCTTCGCACTGAACTCTACAGCACTAACATTTAGTGAAGGGGCAAAGAGCTTCACTGCTTGGGTGTGAAACCTGCCTCTGCCACTAAGCAACTGTACAACAAAGAGCGTGCTTTTAAACTCTCTTGAGACTCAGTTTCCTGAATTGCAGAAGAGGGTTCACAACAGAGTCCAATTTCACCTCACAGAGTTGCTTTCTTAGGCACAAATGACCTTGTATTTAAAGCACCCGGTCAGAGCCTGACACTTAGTAAGCACTCACTAAATGTTAGCCATTCAACAAAATAACCCTGGCCCCTGCTTTCTGAACTCTGGCCGAACACCTATTACAAGTGAAGGGAGTCGCAGAGGTTGGTAACAGCAGGCCCACTTCTCTGTGAATAGGACCTACAGCTCTGACTGCAGAGCACAAGGCCTGAATTTTCTGTTCTCTTCTTTTTTGGGACCATATGTAAAAGTGGACCTCTGAAACACATTCTAGAAATGAGGTACTAGGTATTTTCCAAAATCCCTGGTCCCAATAACTTCCATTATGTCAATAAAGAGGAGGATAAATTATCAGCACCAAGCAGCATTCTACTGCTTGTGGGAAACAAGCAACAAATTCAGCTTCCCACCTATGATGCTCAAAAAGCTAAAAAGTAAAGTTCCCTTGTAATAAATTTGTGACTCACTAGGTGTTTTTATTTCATACATCTTAGCTAAACAAACAGTTATGTAACACATCATAGTCTGTTATTGCTTACTGAGTACATGCCACATATTAGACATAACGCTAGGCATTTTATATGCATCATCGAATCTAGTTTTCATAACAACCATAGGGTTATTATTAATGTCATTTTACAACCAAGAAAATTAAAGCCTAGAAAAGTTGAATAATTTTCCCAAGGCTAGACACTAAGCTGGGACCCAGGCAGTCTGTCAAGAATCAATGCTCTCAAATGTTAGAGAATTTTGCTTCTCCAAGTTATTTTTCAGCCAACATACAAGGTTGATTTTCTTTTCATCCAAAATTTACAAAAACAATTTTTTGAATTAATTATTGTTATATATAGCTCAACTTCCATTTAGAACTTCAAATATTTCCTGTGCTTCTGTTCCAATTCTACGTGGCGCTGCATAATAAACCTATGATGTCCTTCCTGTGTTTGAAATCCACCTAATGGGACTTCTGATTGATAAGCAACCTTTATAAATTAATTTCATGGTATTGCTGAAATTTCCAGTTAATTGAGTGTAATGAAAGAATGTGTCAGTAGGTATTAACACTCCAAATACCTGGTAAAAAAAAATTCGTAACAAAAAAGTTCATGTATCAGTTAATGAATTCTGACTGTTTAACATCAACTGGAAAATTAACTAATTTTAAGCAGAAATGAACAAAATGATCTGTAACACTTATATATTTGGAGACACTGACATACCTGAAGATATGAATGCTCCTGTGTGTATTTGTGAGCATATGTGTATCAGATCACATATATGTTGAAGAAACATTTAAAATAACATTTACAAACAATATAGATTTGCATAGCATGTTGCAAGTGAAATATCTTTTTTTTTTTTTTTTTGAGACAGAGTCTCGCTCAGTCGCCAGGTGCCAGGCTGGAGTGCAGTGGCACGATCTCGGCTCACTACAACCTCCGCCTCCCGGGTTCAAGCAATTCTCCTGCCTCAACCTCCTGAGTAGCTGGGACTACAGGCACGCGCCACCATGCCCAGCTAATTTTTTTGTATTTTTAGTAGAGACGGGGTTTCACCATGTTGGCCAGGATGGTCTCGACCTCTTGAGCTCATGATCTGCCCGCCTCGGCCTTCCCAAAGTGCTGGGTTACAGGCGTGAGCCACCGCGACTGGCCGCAAGTGAAATATCTTGAGAAATTCAGACTAGGGTTGGTATCTGTTTTCCCAAACCTTAGTAACACAGCAAGGGAAAAATCAACAGTAATTGCTTCAAAGCAACATACAAATCTTTTTTCAAATGAATGCTCTTAACAGAAGGTTTTCATCTGCACATAGCATGTATGGAAATTTCAATGACTGGTGGATTGATTATAAACTCAACTAAGTCCAGAGAATAGTACAAAACAGGCCACAGTTCATCACTGTTTTTTCCTCATTTTAAGTCGGAAATCAACAATTAGCATACAGACTTCGGCAGCAAATGCTCTTCCAATCCCTTTAGAATCTTTTCACAATAATGAAGGAAACTACACGTAGAATTAGGCATGATTTAAAAAACAACATTGTCATTAAAAAATACAATTATGTTTTGGTCAAAACCATAAATGTGGTGAAGCCCCCTGATACCTTGTGAATGTTATAATTTGTCAAAAAGATGGTAGTTAAAAAATCCTGTGGGCCAGGTGCAATGGCTCATGCCTGTAATCCCCGCACTTTGGGAGGTGAACACGGGAGAACTGCTTGAGCCTAAGAGTCTGAGATCAGCCTGGGCAACATAGGGAGACTCCATCCCTACAAAAAATAAAAAAATTTAGCTGGGCGTGATGGCATGTGCCTGTAGTCTCAGCTACAAAGGAGGATTACTTGAGCCCAGGAGGTTGAAGCTGCAGGAAGCTGAGATCATGCCATTGCACTCCAGCCTGGTGACAGAGCAAGACCCTGTCTTTAAAAAAAAAAAAAAAAGCTAGGGACTGACTGAAAGAGGGACATTTGCTTTCTAATATTTGGCATGCTTGTCTAGACCATGAGTGACTGGGAGTAATACTAGACTACTGAGGACAAATATTAGAACTGAGAAATCAATGTGAAGCAAGTATGTCTTCTGCATGACCAGGCCCTGCTCAAAGAAGGGCACACTTTATACATACCTGGAAAGAATAATGGCACCTCGATTTATGCTAGCCCAAGACTTTAGGTTCTTCATACCAACATGCTCTACAAGTGTTTTTGCAAAACAACCTGTAAAATATACTGAAACTTAGTGAACATCATATAATAAGATTTATGCTCCCTACCCCCTTCTCTGCTGCCCTTATACCTGCAAATATTTTTTTCAAAAAAGCTAATAAAAGTAGCTTTCACCCAATCTCCATTTTAACACTAAAAATTCCAGTGCAGGTTTATCTAATGCATTTTTAAAACAGCCATTTCTTTTAACTCTGATCCAAAACTTACGCTATGTTTAGCAGTAATTACTCAGGATAAACAAGGAATTCTAATAAAACACTCACTTGGTTATGTCTGCATTTCTTTGTACTATTTAATGATTTAACTTTGACCTGAAAGCTATTCAGGGAATAAATGTTTCACAGTAGCACCTCATGCGTGGTTGAAATCAAGTTCTTCCTTGTAGAGAAATGCTCACCCAGAAGGTGCCATGAACACAACACAGTGTTGACGTGTTCAACAGTGAATAAATGACTGTGCCAGCTTACACTTGGCAATTCTCTTTACAATGCTTACATATTCACAAATCAAAACTACCATTTGTCTTCTGTTATTCTAGCACTTCTGATTCCCAAGGTCTTGGTATTAGCTTATTCACTGTGCAATTAATGCTTGGACAAAGGAGAAATTCTGATAGCTAAGATTTAGTGCAGATGGAGGTATAACCTATCTTGAAGACAAATGTCATAGTCAGGTAGCATGTACTATATAATTCATTCAAAGACACCGGAATGTGAGGACTCTTTAAAAACCAAGAGGCCTATAGCTATTCAGCCTTTCAGGGTATCTGCTAAAGAGGGACAGAATTCAGCTAGTGAAGTAAATTGTTTTCCAAAGCTGACCACAAGAATATCTCCTGTCCTGTGTGTTCTTCTAGAATGCAGCCACTCCATCTACAGGGGGAATCCATGTCTTCTTTTGAATCACAGTGGGCCTCTGTGATTGACTCGGCCAAGACAGCACGGTGAAGTGGCATTAATTGATGCTAAGGATAAATCATCAAAGTGCCAGGCATTTACTTTGTTCTCTTGGGATGCTCACTCTTAAAAAAGCAACCACCATCTCATGAAGGAGCCCAAGTAGCCTAGAAAGGGAAACTGAGGCTGTTGGTTCCCAGCCAACAGCCAGTACTCACTTGCCAGCCATGTGAGTGAGTTATTTGAAAAGTGGACACTCCAACCATAAAGCAAGCAGCCCTAGATGACCCTGACTCCGAGAACAGGCAAGCTGCACCAGATCCTGATCAAGTCACTGTTTTGAAAATTACTAAGTTTTAAGGTGGCTGCTATACAGCAACAGAAAATCAAAACAGCAAGACATGCAGCAAGACAAACTCATTTGGTGCTATATGAAAATGCCAAGACAAACACATCAGACTCAAACAGGCTGATTTTAGGGCTCTCAGCACATTTTAATCAAGAGGGAGAAAAACCACTGGATATTAAGCCAGACAACTTTTCTGGCATAAATTCAACTACACATCAACTTTTTAAATAATGAGCAAGATGATTCCATGCATTACTTTTTCTTTAATATTCATCACAAAGCTTCTCTTTTACAAAAAAAAAATTTACAGTGACAAATGGCCCGGGGTCCCTATTCTTAAAGGTAAAGTGAGAAGTGACAGCTCTGCTGCTATACTGATTGCCTCACTCACTAGCCATCGGAGCTGCCACTTGCCCTAAGACATGAATTCATGATCTGTCACTTTTTTCAGACACTGTAATGGAAAGCCCAAACTGCTTTAACTCAGTAGGGGAAAAAAAATCTCTCTAGTGGTTTAAATGCTGGATGGAATCTGGATTTCCTAAGTGAAGGTCTGGTTGGAGACAGGATGGAGAGGGGAATGGCACGCAAATGCTAATGCTGTCCTTCTCTAGAGAGCTGAGTTTCTACAGAGCAGCTGTAAGGCTTACAAAAAACCAGAAACTGCCAAAGACTGGCTTACTCTTTGGTCACATGTATTTCAATGCCAAATAAACAGGCAGTAGTCCAAAATTCTCTGATGAGGATAATCTTCTTCGCTTATTCTTTCCTCAAACATAGAGATAAATATCGTGCCTTTCTACTGAGGTAATGATACTCAACAATTGGGACCCCCTGCCCCTCTCACCATCCTCATTAGAATAGCATTTTAGGGCATTGACCAAGCCAGGTTAGAAGCCTGCAGCAGCAGACGAAGGAAAACACAAGAGTGAGGGAGGGTGGAAAAAAGAAAGAAAATTAAAGAGTTCTCAGACACAAATTTCTAGGGAAAAAAGCATTACCAGCAACCACTGAATCATTTCTTATCCACAGACATCATTTCTAAACACTTGACAAACTTCATTTGCGCTTAAATAGCCAGTATAAAGTTCAGGGATGCCAGGAATTACTGGAATTCCATATAAGATACAAGAAAAGGTCAAATTGCACAGCCTACCTTCTCTCCCATTTTCTTTCATCTTTTTATCTTGCTCTATTAACCACTTCAGAACTAGATGTCCTGCAGGGTGTTCTGCAATGTGAAGCTGAGGGGCCAAGAACAGTTCATTTTAAAAGCTGTTGTCATTCATGCAAATACATTTGAATGGATACGTACAATTTATGTCACCGCATAGAGCCACTTTTAAAGTTCCACAGGCTTAAGAAGTCTTTATCTCAACAACCACCATACTTGGGGGGACCAGAGATCTATTCTAATCCCCAGGCGGAAAGATGGTTATGTCAGATAGCACAACCACTGCACAACACTTCAGTCTCGGCTTCATGAAATCTGCTCTGAACAGTAGCAGCACAATGCTCATCTTAATGCTAGTCATGTCTTAGATTGCAATATGCCATTCTCAGACACGAATAAACCTGCAGGACAGAACACTATGGCACAAACATCAAAACCCAATGCTGCATGCTGTTTAAGTACACATGACTACCTAAGGGAATTATCTGATGAGCGAATCAAGAAAGCATCTCTTCAGCTCAACCTTACTCCTTTTCAAGAGCCACACCAATTGTTTCCGCAATTATTTGGGCCTCTCCTTAGCGAGTATGGGAGGCAACTGGCTCAGTCTCCTTACAGAGAAACTTTGAAGATGCATGCAGCTTTCCCATTTGTTAATACGGTCAGGAGCCAGGGCTTCTCTAAGATCCCTGGCCCACTTCTCTTCCCCAGTCTTAGGTATCAGAAGCACCTTGGGCACTCAACACTTGGCATTGATTTCATCAATGACCAAATACATGTCTGTAAAACATTCCCAAGTGCCAGGCTTTGACCCAGATGGTTGGAGAAAATTAAAGATGAATATAACTGCTACTGTGAGAGGTTCTTGGTAACAGGCATCTCCCTCCCCAGCTTCCTACTGACTGACACCCCACCTCCTCCTCCTGCGTTTTCTAAAGGTTCCTGTGTGATCAGGATACATCCTGACTGGTTTGAATGAGTTCTGGTAATCCAATCGCTTCTGCCAGATTGGTCCAGAAGTAGCTATGGGACTCATTTCTGCCCAGTAAAACGTCAGGGAAGCCTGTTTGGATATTTCCTTCCCAGTGCCAGGAGAAAAAGCCTTCTGGCTCTTTTATTCCTGCTTGAGACACCGTTGTAGAGAAGTGGGTGAGCCGGGGAGATGAGATGACACTGAGCTGCTGCACCACACCCGGCACAGTGTACCACTGTTTTTCTTACGATGGTAATTAAGCACCTAACTGCTACCATGAGACACTGTGTTTGCAGCAAAGCATTCCTTGCTAAAACGACCCACTGTACTAATCAGAAGTCCTTAGATTTGGACTAAAATTTGGATGTTACTATTCAGTTCCCACCGCATGCTGAACGTAACTCAATGCAACAATACCTTGCTGTACGTGTCTTGTCTGCATGGGTCTCTCCAATGGATCCCAGACCCTTTAAGGGCAGAGACCCTGTCATTTCATCTTTGAATCCCTTTGTAGGTATTCAGTATAGGTTTACTACATTTCTGATACATGAATGAAATACATGGAACTTGAATAAATTATGCAGATCTTCGAACTGTAACACTGGGGATTATAATGAAACGCTGTTGGAAGAATTAAGTGAAAGCAGAGGCCGCTGCCCCTACTATATGGGGAAATAGTAGATTCCCCATAACTGTCTATTTGTCAGGAGCTTACAAGCCAGCCTAGGACCAAGGCCCCATGTGACCTGGTCTCTGTTTTCCTCTTCCCTTTGCTAACTTACTTCCAACCCCCTGAGCCTTCCGCTGTCAAACATGCCCAGCTCCTTCCCTCCTTAGCGCTTCTGCACAGCCTGCTCCCTTAGCCTGGAGTTTTCACAGAACTACTAGGCCTTGGGGTCTCAACTTGCTGAGGGAAGAAGTGTTCACAGCAAATTCAAATTTAAAGCTAGGAGTTAGAAAATATGCTGAAAAGGCAGTCCGGGATCTACCAAGGACAACGGAGAGCCACCGTAAAAGGATTTTGTTTTTACTCGGTAGGAAATGTGGAGCAAGCTCCCGAGACAGACAAGGGCTGTAACGGGGTTGTGTTGTGAATTCACAATCTCTAAATGTACTGTTGGTGTAAGGTGAGTTGAGACAATCACAGTTACAATTCTCTTTATAGTGACTGAAGTTTTTGTGGCCTTTGCAGCCTTCCTGCCTGTCCTTTAACAGTACATTACCTGTCCGTCCTTGCCACCAGGATGCAGCTCCGTTGCTGCCAAGCTGGCGACGGCATTCATGGCAGGCTGAACATCTCCAGTGGCAGATCCCAGAATGTCAGACACCAACACACACGCAGACTTATCTAGCACCACCTCTTGGGCGTGTTCTTGCAGGTAGCTCAACAAAGCTGGAGAAATGGATTCTAGGAGCTCCCGTCTGCGGACCTCTGTATCTTTCTTACTGTTAAATATATTGAATGGGGTATTAAGGTAAGATAAACGGCAAAAAAAATGTGGTGATCTTATCACAAAAACCTCTAAAAGCTTATCATAGAATGTATCACACTCTATTATTATTGTCTCTTTCTGTTAAGCACATAGAAAACGTGTGATTTGAGGGTGTGTTCTGTTGTTCATGTTTGGGTCTCCAGGATCTGAATAGTTTCTGGCACAGAATAAGTGCTCAATAAAGGGAGTCTGGCTCGTGTAACACCAAAAAAAAAAAAAAAAGAAAGAAAAAAAAATTCAAAAATCAAATAGTATAGCCACAAAACACCACATTTACACGGCTGTATGGACACCACACTCGAAGGTACTCAAATATGTGGTATTGGTAGCTTGAAAATAAATCAAAACAGAAGCCAAACGACACACTTAAATGCCTACTACCTGCCAGGTGCTCAGAGGTGTTCTTTTGGCAGGACACTTTTATTTCCTTTTCAAGATAAAAACTTTAAGAATCTGTCAAAAATACAAGCTTAAAAATGGAATTCACCTTTTGAGCAGTTTTAGAGAGAGGGTAGGGATACATGAGTGGATTTCTGGAAGCATGTGCTACTCAACATTAGCAGACAATTAGAGCAAAGGAATAAAGTCAAGCCATTCTAGTTGCTTTTACCTGTGTGCATTTCCATCTCCTTTTTGCAGAACTTCAATGATTTCTCGAACTGTATGTGCAGGATCTCTGGGGCTTAGTAAGTACAATAGGACCTTCCTTCCATATTTGTCATTTACTATGCTAGGCAATGAACTGATAATTTCCTATAAAATTATAAACAAAAAGAAGAATCAATATCTGCTTTCTTAAACTACCACAGGACCTTCCTTCCATATCTGTCATTTACTATGCTAGGCAACGAACTGATAATTTCCTATAAAATTATAGTATATGTGGCTGGCTTGGTGGCTTACGCCATAATCCCAACACTTGGGGAGGTGGAGCGGGTGGATCAAGAGGTCAGGAGTTGGAGACCAGCCTAACCAACATGATGAACTCCCGTCTCTATGAAAAAATACAAAAAAAATTAGCTGGGCGTGGTGGTGTGCACCTATAATCCCAGCTACTCAGGAAGCTGAGGCAGGAGAATTGCTTGAATCCAGGAGGCGGAGGCTGCAGTGAGCCGGTATTGCTCTACTGCACTCCAGCCTGGGCAACAGAGTGAGACTCTGTCTCAAAAAACCAAAAAATTATAGTATATGTGCTGCTGAAGTAAGCACAATGTCCTATAAAATTATAAACAAAAAATGATAGCTACATTCTTAAAGTATGCCTAGAATTTGAATAGTGAAGAATACATATTTAACTAATATTTTTCCCAGCGTACTTCATGGAAAATGTGGAGGTAGTTCTAAAATTGTCTCATTAAAGGACACGGAAATTACATTTAGAACACAGAATCAATTCTCTTTTGTGACTAGCATAACTGAACAACTCAATTGTATTAACTGACCAAGGCCAAGGCCTTAAAAAATATTTAAAGGTGTTATCTTCATTCATTATGGCCAGTATTTCTTGGGCATCTATTACTAGGGACATCAGTTGCTGAGGTCACTGAGTAGAGACAGTTAATTTGCAGCTGCATTTAAATGTAGCATCAGCATGAATGAAGAACATTTCTATTAGAATTTCCCTGCTGAGATGTATGTGAAAGGAGATAAAGAAACTCTGTTGAATCGAACAAGTGGATAAAGGCTTTTAAAGTTAGGTTGCTTATGCATGGCAAATGAAGGCTGTTTAGTTACTGCACTGAAAAACAAAAACAGAGGAGGATGGGAAGACAAATCCAGAAAGACTCGACTGAGCAGTTACAAACTATACCATGACATTTTCAATCAATGTATCCAAGAACAGTAACCTCCTTTCCTAGTTGTTCGAATTTAAGGGACAAAAGCAATGTCATCCCCACCCTAACTAAACTCCTATATAAATCTGATGTTTTCAAAGACAGAAAAGCCACTTAAAATTTTTTAAAAATTCCTTTATTCTTAATAGAGAAGATGCAACAGAAGAGTCATCAATTTGTTTCCCCACCTCTAATATTCCTATTTCTTTTAGCAAACTTTATAAATATTCATATGCATATCTGAGCACCCCCTTTTCGTTAGAACTGGCTGGGCCTCAGAAAGAGTTCTGTCCAGCTGGCCAGGTTTACAGATGAGACATCCAGAAAGAGGAGAGGATCTGCCAGAGGACTCACAGGGGCACTTTCGGGGCTCACCTGGTCCTGGTCCTCCAACTCCAAAACCAGCCTCTTTCAAAGAAAACGTAAAACCTCCTCTTAAGGAAAGGAATTCTCTCAGGGATGATATATTCAGATCTGCTCTTCTTAAAAGGGCCTATTTATTATGATGAGTTTAGTAATTTTAGTGTGAGGAACTGAGCTCAAAATCAAGTCAGCCATCAACCATGGGACCATGAATCTCACTGTGTCACCCTACGTACCATGTTTCTCTTTTTAAAACCCCACCCTTCCCTCATTTTTTGCACAAAAGATAGCACGCTTCCGATAATAGTAGCTAACACTCATTAAGTGCTTCCTAGGAGTCGGGCACTACTGAGAGCCTCACACTACTCATCTCACATAATCTTTTGACCACCATGTCCTGTTTCCACCAATCCAGTCCCCACTATGCTCTCCTAACTACTGCTGAAGTTTAAGATCACAGTATAAAGATTCCCATATAAAACATGAAAGTTTTCAGAGAGCAGATTCAATAGCCCTAACCACCTCAAAATAAATATATAATTTTAACTACCCAGGGAAAATGAATTTAAAAATTCAGTAATAAACGGGAAGACACACACAAAACATACAGAACTCATTACAAGGTAGAGAACCTTCTCAAGGCAAACAAGCCCCAGAGTGAACTCAATCTATGTGTATTTTTTTTTATTCTCGCTCTGTCACCCAGGCTGGAGTGCAGCGGTGCAATCTTGGCTTACCGCTCCCTCTGCCTCCTGGGTTCAAGCAATTCTTGTGCTTCAGCCTCTGGAATAGCTGGGACTATAGGATGCACCATCACACCCAGCAAATTTTTGTATTTTTAGTATAGACAGGGTTTAGTCATGTTGGCCAGGCTGGTCTCCAACTCCTGACCTAGTGATCTGCCCGCCTTGGCCTCCCAAACTGTTGGGATTACAGGCGTGAGCCACGGCACCCAACCAATCTACGTGTTTTTGATAATAAAGTATTTAGTGCCCCAAATATGGGGTACCTTGAGTGTGCCTTCAGTGTACCTTTAGGGACATACATTAAGCTTTAATCAACTCACAAAAGAGGACAAATGCTTTAATTGTTGTAAATTTGTTACTTTGCTGAAAGAAAGAGGTGAGCATAATCTCCTTGTCTCACACCTGGCCTGGCCACTCATTTACCTATCTGGTCAGCGAAGGTTTGCAGGTTTGTGAGCCTTGGGTCAGACCATGATTAACTGCTCCAGGAAAGGATGGCAAAGACAAAGACTACAGTAGCTGAGTGGATGGGGAGACCACATCTGACTGGGAGATCACTATCTGATGATTACACTAGAGCTTAGTCTAAACAGAAAACAAGGAGTGATTACTGGGCTATGATATCAACCTGACATTTTGGGAACTCTAGTTACTCTAAATGGAATGCTTAGCAACACACTAAGCTTTCTTGGCTATTTTTAAAAGCACTGCGTAAGGCGATAGTTTTGTAGTGGCTGAGCAGGAAACAGGAACACATGACTCTATATAAACATATGTGCAGCAGATTTGGCAGTCCAGCAATTCTGCAAAGTGCCTTAGGGAAACTTAACATGTACCCAAGGAGACATATACAAGAATGTTCATGGATTTGGATTAGCAAAAATTAGTAAGAATTAAAGATAGTTTTTAAAATTGTAAACAACCTAAACATCCATCACCAGGAAACTAGAAAATAAATCGCAGTATAGTCACATGTAATAAATTACTATTTGGCAGCGAAAAATAAATTATTTAGAATAGGGATGGGTAAACTATGGCCCATTGGTCAAAATCAGCCTACAGCTTGTTTTTGTCCATCCTGCAAACTGATAATGGTTTTTATATTTTATATTTCTAAAAAACAAAAACAAAATGAATAAGAATACATGATAGGACCACATAGATAGCCCACAAAGGCTAAAATAATTATTATCTGGCCCTCTGCAAAAAAGGCTTGCTGACCCCTGATGATAAATCTCACAAACATGGCAAAAGAAGAAAAGCAAGATGTAGAAGAATACATGTAAGACATCATTTACACAGACCTTGCAAACATGTAAAATCAGATGCATGTTTTGTAAAATAAAAAATGTCTACATATAGTGAAAGGATAAGGAAATGCGTATGAATAATAAATTCCAAATTTATCATAGTAGATATGGGCCGATGATAGGATATCAGGGATGGGTACACAAAAGGCTTAAACTTGAACTGTATTTGTCATAGTTCATGTCATGTCAGATGCCGGGAGGCTGGGTGTTCATTATATTATTCATACCTTTCTGTATATTTTAAAGACGATGCCTTTAAAAATATGCATTAATATTTATTCACCCTCAAACAGCAATTAGCTAGTGTACTTATTTACTTTCCAATGAACATTGCTGCCAAACCACCTTCATATCAATGACTGCATGGTAAACTGGATGAAACTTTATGTTTATTTTGGAAAGTAAAGTAGGTAAGAAAGAGCTCGTAACCATTTTGAAAGGCAAAAAACTCAGCTAACCAGGCTGTGATTTCAACCTGACATTTTGGGAAGTCTAGGTGCCCTGAACAGAGTGCTTAGCAGCATTTAAGCTTTTTAGGTTATTTTTAAAAAGCACTGCATACTGTAACCATTATTGCGGTAGATGAGGGGTGGGAAAAATCCAAGAGCAATTAGCCTTCCAGAATTTTATCACGAGCTACACAGTTTAATAATACACAGAACCTGCTGAATATTTGTCAGTTACAGGCAAGAGATCAGCAAATCGGGCCATTCAGGGAAAGCTGCCCTAAGTATGAGAAAGTCATTAAGAATGTGGGTTAAGCAGTCGTGGGAATCAAAGTGATAAGTATAAGGAATTAAAACTGTTTCAACAGCAACTTTAAGTGGCATACATCTTTGGAAAAAATTAACAGATCATTCTGGCAAATCGTGAAGGAAATTTGGTTTCTCTTGAAATTCATTTGGAACAGTTATGCAAATTTTAGTTGTCGTCAAAATATTAAACAAAAGCAAACTTTCAATATCCCAGCCTGTTTCCATTTCTGTGAAACAACTTTATTCATTAGCTAATTCTATGGCCTCACATCTCTGGTCACAGGAATGAAAAACAATCATTATTGATTGGAGTCAAAAGGGTAATAAAGTCACAAGGAACATGTCAAAATACTCAGTTTGTAACATGAAAGTCTTGCCAACTTGTTTCTTCCCACAATCCTATCCCAAAGAAAGTCATCACAATCTTAAAATAGTCAAGGGTAAAGCTGGAAAATGACAGCAAGGGCATGAGAAATTCACACACACTGGGACCTACAGCTGGCATCTGAGAAAACAATCTTCCCTTCCACTAGCTGGTACAGTTTTTCTAATATACCCAGCTCTACTGATCCCGAGAGGCTACAAAGAGACACTACAGCACCACCACCTGACAATAGGTAAATTCTCTTTTTGAATCATCCATATTCTTCCTTCCTGCAGATGTAAAAGTACTGCTTGTTGGCACTAAGATTTATCCAAAGGCTCCCTTCATGTATATCAAACAGAAAGGCTTGTGTCACTTTCAGATGAATAACCTATGTCTATATAGATGTGGTTTTCAAAATGTTTCCAAGTTGGTCACTACTATCAAGCTTGCATTTTCTTATCCCCATCCTGCTGCAACATCTACCATTTACTCAACATCACTCATATATTAAAAGGAAGAGAAAAGACAATCGTAGAATGAGAAAAAGAGGCTTTCACTGCAGAATGAAGAAAACAGAAACAGTTTATAACGCAATTTTTACTTTGGAGTACTTCCTTTAAGAGGACAATTGGCTTTTCTGCAGGCGAGTTTAGGGATAAATACACTACATTCAAGTATTACCATTTTATGGTCATTATGCTAGACTAGAAGGAATTGCTGAAATGTAAAAAGGAAGTTAGAATTTTAATTTTAGTAATAACTTTTAATCTGCTCCTACAAAATCTCTAAGGAGCATCACAACTGAGTGAGTTCTGTACACTTTTCTTCTCTATCAGCTCAATCCAGCATAGATATATTGATTAACTGGGTAACTGTGCAGAGGTAATTGTTTCTCCATAGATAAAGAGATAATTTAATAGGTCACAGACATCCTCTGCCTGTATCTGAGTTCTGGAATAACTGAGGAATCACTATGCTGACTGATTTCTGATCATATCTAAATATCGCTTTGCTAATTTTTCATAGTTTAGAATTGCATATGATCTAAAGTCCATGTTATCCTAATCTAAAATACAAGTGTTAAATCTTAATTTGACCAGTTTTAAATATTTAAAACAGTATTAATATCAAGTTACAAGGTTAAGATTGATACAGGAATAAAACAAATCTCCAAAATAAAACATAATTAACTTAAAAGTAAGAAAAAATCCTGATAGAAAGCACAGCTGAAAGTCTTTACACATGCATAGTGAAATCAAGCTTACATCCGCAACTGGTTTATTAATGTAACTTAAATTCAAGACCATCAGAATTACTTACTGATATGATTATCTGCTTCACAAGCTTAGTATCATCAATACAATCAAATGCCGCCAGTAAAACCAAATGGGAGTACTGACCCTGCAAGAATTGGAAGCCAGTAGGTTAAAAACAAGTGCATAGGTTTTCCCTCTTATTCCATACATAGAATACTTTCATAAATATATCTACAATGACAACTTGTCTAACATAAGTAAGATGAATAAAAGCCATTATAACGAATTTCCTCTCTTATCAAGACCTCATTAATTATATTCTAGAGGCAAGGTTGACTTTTTTAAAAGCACATTCTTTTTTACCAAATAGCCTAAAACCAATACCTGTTAGCTACTTGAAAATTATAGTTAAAAGTTCAAGTTATAAGATTAAATTCAAAAAACCTACATATATAAACACATATATAAGATATTCCAACATGAAAAGAAAATATAAACTCATACAATTTTACATACACACACGATATACATAATACATGTACACAGAAAATCCCGGAAGGCAAAGCATTGGAATAGTCATCTCTGGGTTTCCAGATGATTTTTAATTTTCTTTTCTATATTGCTCAATTTCTTTAAAGTGAACTCACAAAATTAGAATATAAAAATGAAAAAAACTAGAAAGGTATAATTATATATTGAATGAGATAAAAATCATTATTTAAAAAAGTACAGCTGCATGAGATCACAGAAATACACATGTGGCTTTCACAACACTCATCCTTTGAAATAATAAAATTATTTCCATGATGCTAATACTGTTCCAAACATTTAAAGAACACCTACTTTATGTTAATAACAAAAACACAAAAACAAAAGAAAACAAAAGCCTGTTTCCAGAGCTTGTGGCATTAGTGTCCTGGATGTTGATATAATTGTTTTAAATTTTGATAGGAATTTGATTTTTGATTATAGCCCACAATCATTCAAAGCCAGATCTGATGAATATCACAGATAATACAATTTCAACCAGAAACAATAACGAAACTGGTAATTGTAAGGTCAAAAAGACAAACTGAAGATAAACAACAAAGGTCTAACATCCTTACCACACAAAGACCAGCAACCAACTAAAAATGGGCAAAGAACATGAAGACTCGGTTCACAGAAAAGAGAAGTACAAATGTCTTTAAAGGTGTGAAATAATGCTGTACTAACTAATTAAGGATAATAATTAAAACAATGAAATGCCATTTGCCGTTTGTCCCATAGGGGATGGTGAAGACCTCTGACAGACTAATTTACCAAAGGTTTAGGGAACAGTTGGTACACTTGAATGTTGGTGAGAATGTAAAGTAGTTCAACTTCTTTAAAGAGCAATTGACAACACCTATAAAAATTTAAAATGCAGGTATGACCTGATCCAGCAATTCTAGTTCTAAGGATTTATTTCTTGCACACATGTTTCCTTGTGAGTACAAAGACTTTCATATGAGTTTATTCACTGGAGTACTAACTGTAATTTAAAAAAATCTAGAAACTACCAACATGCCCCAAAACAGGGACTTATTAAATAAATCATGGTACAGGTGTATGATGAAATAGTACAATCACTGAGAAGAGTGAGGTAGACAGATGTATAAATACTGAAATAAAATGACCCCTAATATGAATTAAGTGAAGGAAACACAATAGAAAACAATGTGCCTAGTACAAAATCACTGGTTTCAGTTCTCTTAAGTTGGACACACATAAGCATAAAATATTTCTGGATGAATACAACAGAAGCTGGTACCGAATTGAATACAAGTGAGAAACAGACAAATCTACAGGTATAGTTGGAAATTTTAACATGTTTGTCTCAGCAACTGATAGAACTAGAAAATAATAAGTCAGTAAAAACAATGATGGTATAAACACTATCAACTACTTTGGTCTAATGGACATATATAGAATACCCCACCAAACGACTCCACAATATATTATTTTAAAAATACTTAGACCATATGTTAGGCCACAAAACAGGTCTCAATAAACTTCAAAGGAACAAGAAAATGTAGACTGTATCAAGAAACCCTCAAAATCTGGAAATTAATAATTCTAAATAATCCATGGATCAAATCCATTGGTAATGTTAGTTTATCACCCCCTTAGAAACAACTCTTAGAGGTTTAAAAAGATATGTATTGTTAATTTCTGTTACCATCATGATGCCATGCTGGGATTAGGTTCTCAAAAAAACTTGGTGCTGAATTACCTGGCATAACCAAACTGCAGAATTAAAACAATCTAATTTTATTATTTAAAAATGTCATGCTACTAATACTTCCGTGAATTTTCTATTAACATTCTAGTTTTTACTCATTTTAATGTAAAGTATTCAAATTAAGAGTATCACACATAAAAATTTACTTAACAATGAATTATGAATCATAAAAAATCGCATACACTTGAAACAACTCATCAGAGAATTCCATACTTCACTTTGTTATAGGAAAGTTAGCTGCCTTCTGAATTCCTCTAATCTCTATTCCAACAGAAGACAATAGTTAAGTACACAATCACATAGCATTAATTTTAAATTGTTTGACTTAGTTTTTCAAACAAGTTGAAGTATCCACCAGATGCTAGTAGTTCTCACTGGATTTTTTTCAAAGGACAAAGTAGTTGATTATGAAATAATTTTAGTTCATCAATAAATCAGAACTTTACTGATGAACTGTTATCCATCAAATACATAAAATTTAACTCAAAAATTAAAATTTTATTTACCACATATATTCTAGTTATAGTATCCCATAGTAGCAGTATGAAAAATTATTTAATATCTAATTATATATAAACACTATTTATAAAGCAGCAAATCTCCCTGAAAAAAACTTTTTGCACCTATGAATTTCATTAGGAAAACTGTTATTGCATTTCTAAAGAACTATAAAATTTAACAACTCAAAATTTCCATAACCACACTGTAAATTTATTCTTAAAAAAATAAAAAGATACATTTTAATTTCTTCTATGGTTTTGGTCGTAAGCAAAAATACTATCAAGTTTCTGAAGTGCAATCTGGCATCGTTTACCCAGAGACTAAAATATGTACCTACCTTATCCAGGCAGTAATTCCCATGTTTAATTAACATGACTGGACAAATTCCCCAAAGATGCTAGTAAATATCAAAGAATATCTAAGGAAGGTAGAGAACTACCATAATACACTGTTAAATTAAAAAAGAAAAGAATTCATGTGGCATGATTCCCATTTTGTGTAAATAAAATATGAAAATACATGTACAGAAAAATATTATAATAAAACAACTAATAATTTTCTTCTTGGTAATTTTCTGAATTTTTCAAAATTTTCTGTAATAGATATGAATTCATCTTAAAAATAATTAGAAAAAATATGTAGTTCTATTGTACTTACATTAGCCACCTTTTCAACGTAAGTCTTCATTGTTTTCACAATCACTTTCCTGTCCTTAAAAAGTAAAGATTGTCTCACTGAGCTTTCAGTTATATATTAAGGGTATTTCATAAACATTTTAATATAATATTTATTAAGTTTTCATTTGGCATATTTTTCATTAGTAAAAATAATAGTTATGTAGCCAGAATGAAAAACTGTAACACACCAAAGAAGTTCTCTTAGAGCTATTATAAGCTTAGATGTGTATATGACAATCCATTCAGACATAAATATGGAACCATTAAGTTGCAAGTTGCAAGGCAAACCTAGTGAAGGCAGCTTTCACAGTGAGACCTGAGAGATCCCTCTTCCAAGGTCTAAACTGTCCTCAAATGCAGAGTCTAGCATACAGTTAGTACTCGTATGCATTTGTTGAACAAAATTAAATTTGCATTAAAAAAGTAGATACAGTACAGCGATCTTTTAAAGCAGAATTATGCTGACCAAGGAAATAATGATCATTTCTGTTAAACTTCTGTGATTAATAAGGATCTTTACCTTTCCCCTCACGTACTTAATACCCACAGGAGCAAATGTGCGTGGCCAGCTGTTTGTTTTCCCTTCCTATTTCCCCCTGCCATAGTATGATTATTAAATGAGAATGAAGAGCCCAATGGGTACCAAAACCTCTACAAACTAAGCTTAAATACATATTATGCTTACTTGCTTGACAGATCTCTTCCCATCCTTAATGAAACTTCAAGGTTTCTACTAAAGCAGAGAAGAAATACTAGACCTAAAGAAGATGGCTCATTCCCATCAGACCCAGAGGCACAACTTTTAGAAGATAACGTTGCTAAGCACAATATGGCAAAGATCAAAGGGGATTAAAAGTCTCAGGACAGCTAAGTCAAGCCTGAAGATAAAGTGTGGCCCTGACTTGTACAGTTTAAACACACAAGTGCTGTCACACTTACCTTGGGGGTACCGTGCCACAAGCAGTGCATGGCCACTCTGGCGCCATCGTGTGTGTGTGCCAGGTATACCACTGCTTCGCGGATGGCTTCAATCGTTTCCTAGGAAACAAATACTGTCAGGAACAGGGCTTTGCTTTATTTTCTTCTTTCTGCTGTTTTAACTGTCTGTCTACAGGGGGCAGTTATGCAGAGAGAAGGAAAGGAAGAGAGTGCAGGTAGCAAACAATTTCATTTTAGAGAATCAAACAGAAACAACCACCTCTTTCTAGAAATGTTCTTTTCCATCAAGAGCAATGAATACTGCTGGTACACAATTTCTATTAAACACAGTATCTGACTTAAACCAATGTCTGTTAAAAAAAAAAAAACACGTCACAGGCTATATGTGTAGTACAATATATTTTAAATAATTTTCCAAGAAAAAGATGCCTTGGAGGTAGTAGTGATAAGAAAGCAACTTTTAACAGAATAGTGAGATAAAGAAAATGCTCTTCCCTAAAAGAGACACATATATAATAAACAGAATCAAAACACTCGTTTTTACTGAAAAAGTTTCCTGTTTAGTTTATAACTAGATTATCACCAAAAATCATATTCTTTACCATCAACCTGCTTATATAACATTTCCTTATGAAAAATTTCTATACTAACATTTAGACTAAGACCTTACCTAAAAATGACCCGTTAGTAAAAAATCATTTAATTTCTCACAGGTAGCTTAGCTTAATTTCATCTTTAGCCTTTGCTTTCCATGTATATAATTTCTTATTTATATGTTCAAAGTCTAAGCACATAGGATGTAAATGAATTCTGGCAACTCACATCTGCAGGGCCCCATTTTAGTCTATTCCCAATTAAAAAATGTATGTTAAATAAATAAATATGAAGCCTTATGCCAGGAAAGAGAGGGTAGGTGCCTAATTTCATCAATAAGGAACAAACAATTTCACCCTAAAGTATCTTACAATCCTTTCCAACATGACTCTCAAGAGTAGTTTCAACTAACATACCTGAACTTAGGAATCTCTTCAAAGCTACCCAGATGGAAAGCCACGCATATATTCCAATTATGCTTCAGTTTTCCCCAAAGGTTTTTTTTTTTTTTAAGTCTCTTTTGAAAATGCCCCCAGTACCAGAAAAGACGACTTCAGTTCCAATGATTTTTTGCTGTTACTAAAACATTCAACACTAAAAAGATACTTTCTACCACTGAAAATATTCAAATGATCATTGTGTCATTTCTGAACATACACTCCTGCCTAGTAAATCCAGAACCGTGGGACACTCTGTTTTGCAGGAAATGAAGAGAAATCCCCAAAAGAGAAGGTACTGCTATGGTCACTGAATCACAAGCTTAGGTGGGTGGCTACCGTTGGGAAATTATTTTGCATGCCAATTTTGAGAGGGTCAAAACTCCAATGAATGTACAGTCTGGCATATTTGTTAAGTCAGTCTCATTATTTTCGTTATCCCTTGTGATTGGAAAATGAGGACAAATGGACAATGAGCTCACTGTACGATGCGACAAGCAAAGTTCAGGGAACTAAATGATGAATTCTCATTTTTATTCCCATGACTGACTAGAAGGGCAGTGCAATTTACCTTCACTCTCTGTTCTTCTATCATATAAAGCCCAGGTTTTCATGGTCCACTGGTTTTACAAACGTATCCTCCTCTAACCTTCTAATGTCAACCTAATTTTTTTTTTTGTATTGCACAGTTAAATTTAAAACTACCCAAATGCTTGAATATTCCTCCACAAGTTAGTTAATTTTTAGATTAGGTTAGCTAGTGGATACTCTCTGGATTATAATTAACATATAAAAATTCAATATGATTAGTAGACAACGTACATCAAAGCAGTTTTCAAATTTCTACAGTGCTCCTCCTCCATGTTTTAGTTTAAAAACAAAAACCAAGAACTTACTGATCTGAGTTTGGGGGGCGCATAGGTAAAAAAGTCCAAGAATACTTTATGCACTAGTGAGTGCTTAATCACAGCCTCCCTGAAAACAGAAAAACAAAACAAAAACAAAAGACACATCAGATTTGGCACTACAGTCATACAAAGATAGGAAATCTCAGAAGTCCTAAAGTAATCTAAACACGTGAAATGGTTTTATTGAATACAGTTTGTCATCAAAGACCGTATCTTTCAGAAATACTAAGATTTAAAAAATTTAGATGGCAAAATTGATTTAGTGCTATCTACAACCAAGACCTGAGTACAAATTTCTAGGATCTAATCAGCAAACCTTCAAAACATGCTCTATTCTGTTAAATGAGGCTATCTACATTTTCTTCCCCAGCACTGGACATAATGATTAGAAATCCACATGTGGACCTTTTTTTTTAAATAGTTGTTTTATTTGTGCCAACACTATTCACAATCCACCTGCTTCACAAAATAATTTTTGTAGAATGAAAACCTGAATGAACCAAACATTGTCAGCAATTGCAACAATACCTACTTAATCCGAGCCCCTTAGTGCGACACTTGGTGAATCCAGGTATACAGTGGAGGCTGATGGTCAAGCATCAAAGACCTAAAGTTCATAGGCCATATCCAAGTAGACAGCAAAAACTAACACTGCCTTTATGGGCAAAGCACTGTTCTGAGTGTTTTGGAACAACTAACCCGTTTAATCTTCATAAAAATCCTGTGACGTCTGTACTATTATTATCCCAATTTTACAGACATGGAAACTGAGGCACAGAGAGGTTTAGTTGCCTGAGGTTACACAGTTAGTAATAGTCGGGGAGTGGAGAACCAGGAGTCATACCCAGGCAGTCTGGTCCCCAAAGTTATGCTCAGCCACTCCACAATGGGACAGGTGCCACGAAGGGCACACGCACAGGCTTCTAAGTCTTAAAATCCATTTTTTATTTTTTTCTATTTTTTTAAGGCAAGGTTTCACTCTGTTGCCTAGGCTGGAATGCAGTGGCATGACCATGGCTCACTGCAGCCCAAGCAAGCCTCCTGCCTCAGCTTCCTGAGTAGCCAAGACTAAAGACGCACACCACCAAGCCTGGCTAATTTTCTTATTTTTTTTGTGGAGATGGAGTCCTGCTATATTGTCCCAGCTGGTCTTGAACTCTTGGCCTCAAGTGGTTCTCCCACCTTGGCCCCCCAAAGTGCTAGGATTATAGGCATGAGCCACTGCGCCTTGCCTACAACCAAATTTAAATAACAGATTATATTTGTGAAACTGTTTAGTATACATGGTTTCCATGTAACATTTTATTTGGGGAAAGAATGTTTCATTGCTTAAAAAAGCTCATAAATCACGACTGCATGTTAGACCATTTTATAGGGTATGATAACAGAAAAAGAAATCTTCTTTTGCACCAAGAATGGTTTCAAACCAACATTTTTGCACTCTTATTTAGGACAGATTAGTAATCGTAAGCAGGAAATATCCATCTCTTCTGGGCAACAGTTATGTAAAACCTTCCTCCTTTGAATGTCATTTGTTAAGAAAAAAACAAAAACAACTTTCTTACTTTTGGGCCATTGGAGTTAGAATCTGTTTCATTTCATCCATAATAAGCTCTAATTTTTCTGGCTGTACCTCTAACACTTTGTCCAGAGTTGGGTGATCTGCTGACTGCAACGAAAGAAGAATCAACCCCCCCTAAATTTAATCAAGTATTTCACTTCAGGACAAAGAAAAGCAATTATAGTCATTTTAAAGTAAGTTTTAACAAATATAAGATTTTCCATATTTACATAATGAAAGCTCTGCTGTATATCCCCGTGGAGTAACCTGATTAGCTGATTCTCAGTCTGTGTATCTATCAATGTATTTAAAGAGCCAGGCTAAACACCAACCAAGTTAACCAGCCCATAGTTACTCGTCAAGCACCTGGCTCTTGACTAACTATGAGATCAAGTAGTCACTTCACAAATTCTTGCCACCATATGTTTTATAATTAGTTAGATATTCCTATTAATATAACGAAGTGTTAACAAAATTAGTACAGCAACAAATTCAACCCAAGAATTCCTGACTAATGGAGGCAACCTAGGAATCAATTCATATCCCTTCAGACAAATGTATACATTTATGTTCCAAGGTTTGAAACAGATTCTTTAACATCTAGTCCAACTGCTAGCCATTCTCAAATTCAGTCCTTTTATTCTTTCCAAGGCTAGGTCTCTCTATTCCCCTTCATCTCCGGATACAATCTGAAGAAGGGCAATGCATGCACATGAAAAAACACAGGAGAAGCTAGCAACAGAGAGCCAATACTCTTCAGCCAGAGCTGGGTGGGGGTGGTTACACCACTTTGATAACTATTAGGAGTCTTCTCCCTCAGTCTGACTGTAAAAAGAGAAGTACTGAAGCGCTCTACACAGAGCACTCAGGAGAGGAACAAAAGTTTTATTTGAAGAGGATTTAAAGCCAATGCTCTGGAGAAAGACAAGCCTACTTGCTCACTACACCAGAGACAAAATAAAGCATAAGGGAAAATCAAGGGCACAAGATGGTCTCTTAAAGCACCAGCCGAGGTAAAAATACATTCTCAAAATAGGGCACTGGAAGTTAAGGAAGAGCCTATCAAAAAAGTAAAAATACTAGAAAAAGATTTCTGGAGTTGTCACCTTGTAAAGCTGAAACGTGTTCCCATAGAGCTCTTCCGTCAGCGCGTTCCTCTGCTCTAAAATGGCTTTGTCATTGTATGCATACTCCACGATGGCTGACGCTTCCGCATGCCGCAGCATCTTCCTCACGTGGCCTTTAAAACTTCTGATTATCTCTGCAATCTGTGGTTTACTTCTACACGCAACACAATCATGGAAAAAATAATGATGGAAGGAGAAAGCTGGGTGACAATAAAACACAACTTACTTCTCCCAAGACCAATTCATCAATCTGTGTGTATGTGAGTCTCCCATAGAGACAGGCTTATGAGTAGGAACTAAACTACCTTGTATTTCCACTTCAAGCTTTAAGCAGCTCCACAGCCAGCTTGCCTAGGTTTGAAACCTGGTTTTGCTTACCAGCTGAAAGACGCAGAGGAAGTTATTCAACCTCGATGCCTCAGCTCCTTCATTCAAAAAGCAAAAATAAGGTTGCTCTGAGGAGTCTATGAGCTAGCATGCATTGAGAAGTGTGACTGGCACATAGTAAATGCTCAGTAAATGTCAGTTCCCATTAAACTGTTCTGCTTGAAAAAAAAAGTAGAGCAGGAAAAAAGATAAAAGCCATATATTCAGGGAAACGGAAAATCATATTCTAAGATTCTTTTGGAAAATGGGACTTAGTCACAAGTATTTTAACTATATCCTAAAAGAATCAAACAGCTGGTAATTACAGCTAGGGAAACATTTCTGAAAATTTTGTCAACTGCATATATTATACTTTTTTGTTGTTGATTATCATATTCTAGCACATTACTATACTCAAAAAGATTGGTCAAGACAAGTATTAATTCTATTTAATTTAGGAAATTCTCCCATCTTGACATGTTCTAACCTACTGACCCTGTATTAGTCTACTTACCTGCCCCTCCCCACTGTCTACCCTCTTAATACTGGCGGCCAATTACAAGTTAATTATTTCATTTTTCCTCTTCTAGAGGTTCAAGATAAACATCCATAAATCATCCATCAAGCAAAATTATTTTTACGATACTACAGTACCAGTCTATTTCAAAAGTGCTTATTTGTTGCTATCTTTAAAACTTCTGAATTCCAACAAATCAGAAGCTGAGGGTATACCTCCATCAAAGTCATAAATTTCAAGGAGATGTGCAAGACATCTCTGATGTATCTCTTTAGGAATGATGAAGGCAGTACCATAATTTTAAATTAATTCCAATAATTGTACGTAAGATGATACTCTCTAAAAACAACACAAGCATCTGCTGAGCACTATTACTATTGCTTCTAAACACCACAGACATACTGTCTCACATCTGAGCACAGTTGGCATCTATGCCTTCAAAAGACAAAGAAAAAATGTATTTTATAAATACAACAACTTACCCATACATAAGAAATTTCTTAACAATATTTCTGGAATATTTCGCTTTACTTAATTCTACCAAATCACCTGAAAAACAAAAATACATTACAATGACTTGAGATCTCATTTCAGCTCTCTGGAAACAAAGGAAGGAACTAAATAAATGCACAATCCTGGAAACACAACTAATTCTCAATTTGTCCCAGGCAAGGAAAAAAAACAAAATAAAAAAGGATCTGAGAAGACACACCTAAACAAAAACTATTTTCTAGAACACTCTTGGGTATTTCAAGAGAAAACAAATGACTTATTACAAATGACAACATAATCTTCAGTGTGTAACAAATACCTCGCAATTCTTCAAAAGCCTGTTTTCTCTGTTCTTCATTACCATACTGAATGTAACACTGGATCACACGAGTTGAATCATGTGCAAATGCAATCTGTAGGAAAAAGTTTGAGTTAGACTAATTCTCTTCTAAGAGTTATGTTTCTCATTACTTTTTTATTGCGACCTCTTCTGGAATTTCTTTTTAGAAAAAAGGTAGTCTTCATGGATAAAATCAAACCTATATTACTGAGAACTACTTGTTTTAGTTATCAGAACATCACTCGTTTGATGCCTACCATATTTAATAGATATAAATAATTAATAATGGCATTGAGGCAAGGATAAATTTAACCATTTTGCAAGACTCCTATCACTGTAATTAAAACCAAATCAATCCAAACTATCTGATGATTATATGGACTATACTTCTCATTGCTTTAATAGTTACCGTCCCTAAAAGGGAAATATTTCTGTTTAAAAGGTCTATTACACTGTATGATTTTTATGTAAGTGATCGAAGAATGTCTGGCTTTGGCAATCAGAAGTATACCTATGAGATCAATGTAAAGTCTTCCTACAGAAAGAAATATAACTATAGCCGTACACATTGGCAATTATATAAGTTAATCATCCATTTGTCACATTTTCATTACAATTCCTGCACATACATCCAGTTCTATTTCTAGAAGAACTGTTGTGTTCTGAATCTGATCCTCTAACCCATTCCTCCTCATGACTATTGGAAGGACCCACTGATCAATTTTCTAGAGCACTGTCTACAAATCATCATGCAAAATTATTTTTACTATGCTACAGTACCAGTCCACTTCAAAAGTGCTTATTTGTTGCTCGCTGTGTCTTTAAAATTTTTGAATCCAACAAATCAGAAGGTGAGGGTATACTTCCATCAAAGTCATAAATTTCAAGATTTGTAAGACATCTCTGAAGTATCTTTGTAAAAAGTAACTCTGTTTTTGTGCCTATATTAAGCATCTATTATATAACTAACATAGGTACCTTAAACATAGTGTTCTCATTCATATCTCAAAGCAACCATAAGAATGAGCTGTTATTATTTCCACTTTATAGATGAGGAAAGTAAGGTTATCAGAAGGAATTAGATCCTTCTGTTACCCCAAGGAAGAACGTTTACTTCTCTCAGTCCCAGACACATTAAATATACAAGGATAATGACATATAGTAAATGACACAGTGCATGTGCTGGTTAACACAATTCCCAGCCTATAAATAATCAATACATAGATTACTGTTATTGTTCAAAGGCATGCATATTTTAAGCAGCCCAATCAGGATTTGAATACCAAACTCACTTCTAAGACCATGGTCATACAGCTGTGACCTCAGGGTAGTTGAGAAAGAATCCTAAGTGAAATATTTATGAATTACAAGAGCTGAGAGGGCAGTTCTATCCTAAAAGATTCTGCTGAATTTATAAGAAAGCAGCAGCTGATGACTTGCTATTTTCCTTCAAACTGTAACATAGCATCTGGTTAAACCCATGCATCTGATTTGGTAAAGGCTGCCCCTCTAGGTGTCGTAAAACTATTAGATCTGTTGTCTTCCAAGCCATTATATATTAATCCAAATACACAAGGGTCACTAGAAATTTTTTACAAGACAGGATTAAGCAGCAACAATGAAAACTACTTTAGAATTCTTAAATGATTATATTTTACTTAAAGATTTTTGCATGTTTACAAAAGCATGAAAAAAAGAAAGAATATGATTACATTACAAACATAAAAAAGTTGGCAATTGAGAACATCCTAAATTATATGGAGTTCAGAGTAAGACACTCAAACAAATACTACTGAACTAATAAACTCCTTGAGATAACTTTAAGGGAACAATGGTTTATTTTATGTAAATTATTTAAAAACGACACAGCCAACTAATAATCTTTTCAAAACTCCCCAGCAGTAAGGTCCCCCACAATTAAATTTTTATGTAGTCAGTGTTATGGAATGTATTTGAAATTTTTGGCCAAATAAACTGGAAATAATGACATTCACCTGTCATGAATGGTCAGCTACTCCTGAGAGTCAGGAGACCTCAACTGTTTAAAGTATGTCCTACTTACAGTTTTAATTTTCCCTTGAATCAACTTCTGCAAGTCACTCATCAACTTTACTCTTTTTTCTTTGTCACAGTCTTTTCTACAAATGAGAAGAGGAAGCAAACACAGTGTTAAGTAAAAAGGTTATTTTAAACACACAAAATTAAAAACCATACCAGTTCTCCAAGTTCAGCATGATTTTCTTTTCTAAGGCAGCAAACCTCTGACATTAAAATTACTATTTCAGAGCAGCCAGACAAAAGTAATTTTCTCAAAGGCAGAAACTCATCTCACAAGGTATAATTTTATGTATCAATCCAAATCTTAACAGCCAGAACTTCAGAAGTAAAAAAAAACAATAAAACAAATCTAAGATACCAAAGACTTAAGTATCTCAAAACCTAGCTGATAAGAAATTGTCCTTTGTTTTCTCAGATCTCTCTCAGGAAGAATGTCAAATTTATTTCAACCTCATACATTTTCATAAGCATATCCAATGCCATCGTAATGATTCTACACATTTCTGCAATGGGCAGACATCCAAGTACTGATGTTTCTACTGGGGTGTCATGAAGACTCCCTCAATAACGCAACTGTTACGTCATTTATTTTAAGACATCTCACTATTTACAAGGTACACTTCCTTCTCCAGTGTCGCAAAGGGACTAACAAAGACGTCTTTAGGTAGAATTACCTTCTTAAAATCTCCCAAATCTGCTTTGACCGAACAACAATGTCATAGTTGGTTTTATCACTGAGTTGTCTGCTTTGCTTCAGTTCCTTCTTCTTCTTTTTGAAGTCATCCCACTTGGGTTTCTTGGCTGCTGATTCTAGTTATTATAGAAATTATTTTCAATTACATTCAATATTCTGAGTGCCATAAACCAATACAAATTAGGTATAAAGGGCAATCACTAATCAGGATCAATGCTCATTCTGGAAGCTATAAAGGGGAACATACCATCCCCCATAAACTTATGTTTTACTTCACTTTCTGAGCAGTTTGTACATTTTATGTTTGGTTAAATTTAAATCTTTCTTAATTCTTCTAACAGAATATCTATTAAGAGAAAAAGACATTAAAATAATTATAAAAGTAACTATAATATTTTAAATATCTTTTTCAATTGTAAAATAAAATTCTACTTTTTAAGATTAAGATCACTGGACTTTAGGTATAATCAACTTTCAATGAAAACAAAAATTAGACCTATTTCCTATAGGAAATAGGAAAACAAAAATTTCCTATTTCCAATGCAAATAGGAAAAACAACTTCAAAAAATGCACTGTTCTGAGTGCTGTTGTATATTAAGTCATTTATTTCTTACAACAATCCCAAGAGGTAGGTACTAGTATTATCCTCCCTTCTATGGTGAGGAAAAAGAACCAAGCTGTCGAGTCTCTGAGGCCACACAACCCGCAGTGATGGAACTAGGATTCAAACCTAGAAACAGTCCTCTGCTGTCTTAGTCATGGCAATGCACAACCAAAATTTTCAAGTTCGCCACAAATACAGTGATACGACAAAAGTCGAGTGTCTATCACGACATTTTTGTCTTCCAAATCCAAATAACTTACCAATTGAACTAATGATGCCAAACAAAGGACGACTTACTATAATGGGTATTTTTTACATGAGTATCCTGCATAGAATCTTTTGGGGGAATTAGTCACTTCTAAATATCTCCCCTTCTCTATAAAAAACACTTAGAAAAACGCAAAAAAGAGAAACCCTATAGAACCAAAACCTAGCTATAACCACTTATGTTCCTCTTGATTTTTCTCCATGTATGTTTTAATCTTTAAAAATGTGGCTGGGTGCAGTGGCTTACGCCTGTAATCCCAGCACTTTGGAAGGCTAAGGTAGAAGGACCGCTTGAGGGCAGGAGTTTGAGACCAACCTGGGCAAAATAGTGAGACACTGTCTCTACAAAAAATTAAGTTAAAAAATTAGCCGGGTGTGGTGGTACACACCTGTAATCCCAGCTACTTCAGAGGCTGAGGCAGGAGGATCACTTGAGCCCAGGAGGTCAAGGATGCAGTGAGCCATCATCATGACATTGCACTTCAGTTTGGGCAACAAAGTGAGACCCTATCTCAAAAAAAGAAAAAAATTCAGAATCTGTCTTCACTTAATATGATTAGATTATGTGTTTTCATAACATTCCTCAATAACATAATTTTTAATGGCCACACAATATGCTACAATGTATTTATTATTCCCTTATTGTTTACTCGTATATTCCCTGCCTGGAAATACAAAAGACTATAGGCAACAGAGGGCATATTTACCATTAGATTAATATAGTATCCTTTACTACACAACAGAGGATAGCAACTGATCCAGGGCTAATTTACTTCCATAAATATTTGGGTGCCCCGGACATATGCCATGCTAGGCTGCAGGACATTTACCAGTGTGGGAGTTGTCTAGTACCCAATCTCTCATGTTATTCTATCAGTCTAGTTACTGATACAAAAATATGAGGAAATGAAATCAAGAGTCCCATTTTGAGATATCAGGAACATATCTCCTATAGCAAAAGAAATCACGGTTTTTCTCACACCAATGTGAGAAATGAATGTATATGTCTTTAAAATGCAGGTGTCAAAAACTCCAGTAGAGAAAGGAAGATTTGGGTTATATTAGAGAGGCTAGGAAAGACAGTGAAAAGACAGGCCTGAAGAGAAACTACTGGCGGTCAGGGAGGAGGAAGATGAGGGAAGAAGAAAAAATGAAAAGAGATCGAAACTGGAGCCTGAGAAGATCCTACAGCCCTAACGAGAAACAATGCCATTTCCCCTCTTTCCTCTCTCCCTACCTCTTGGTCTTAAGGCTGCTGTCCCTCTGGTAAGCAGCCCTTAGGCAAGGTAAAAAGCATGCACCACGACTAGGAATGGCACTGAGAAGACCATCCCCAGTAGTCTCAGCTGGTAATAAAGGGGCAGTGTTCGGATATGCTGGGATGGGGAAAAAGGGAATAAAAGGCACCAGAAAAATTCTCAGGATGTTGCAAACAAAGTAATGATATGACAATCCATGTACCATGGAAGCTGCTTGTTTGAGATCGGTGTAGGATAATGCACAACAGTGGAACGTTACACTATAGAGAGCAAAGCTCCGGGTTAGAAATGACCCACTGAACATCATGACAGAGATGAGCAGTTTGTTTCAACAGACAAGCAGGAGACCTGCCGATACTGCCTATCAGTGACCAACTTGTCCTGAACCAATTAAAATCAAATCTGTCATGAGTACACAACACCTTCTCTGGAACTGCTATGGATCTGCGCCATCAGATGGGTTGACTGTATTAGACTGGCCTAGATTCTGTGAAGGCAGGGTCTGTATGTTTCTTGCTCACCAAAGCATCCTTAGCCAAGGCTGACACTTAGCTGGGGACAGACTGATTATTTAAGGCCATAATTCTATGATGATTAGTTGGGGCCTGTATCCTTACTGACTGTGTGTGTGTGTGTGTGTGTGTGTGTGTGTGTGTGTCTGTGTGTGTGCACGCGTGCGCGCACGTGCACACACTTGCCCTATCTCATGCTACATAGAAAACTCAAATACTTGTTGAATGAATAAATGAATACATTTTAGCTTATAGAAAGAAATGCTTTATTGAGGTTTCGTGGTATAAAGCCATTACAATTTATTACAATTTATCTTCACTCCATGGCTAAAGAAATTCAGAAAAGGGCTAAGAAATAAACTCTAAGCACCAGAGAGAAATTCTGAGCATGAAAGATGCTTTGTTGTTTGTTTAAGCCCATCTACCTGTCCCAAAACATTACCTGCCAAGCAACAAGAATGGGAGCTCTCTAATGCACCTCCAAAGTACCTGCGCACAAAGGTTCTAGCTAGTTCAGGCAGGACGAGGACTCTGCAAAGACCATGCTGAACCAATGCGTACTTACCATCGCTTTTACCATCTGGCTGAAATTTTCTCTTCTTGTTGAATTTATTTGCCTTCTGGAATTTGTTCTTTGGTGATTTGTCCCCTTGCTGCTTATTCTTGAACTGTTTCATACCCCTTTTCCCAGGTTTTGTGATACTTTTCTCAAAGTTGTTAGATGTGATTTTAGATCCACCTTCCTTAGCAGCTTTCCTTGAAATTGCCTTTGAAGAACCAGAATCTAATGACAATAGGAATTATAAGTTCAGTGATTGTGGGCCCAAGTCTCTTTTATCCATTGGACTATATTCATTACAGAAAATAACGCTCTTTAATACTAATACCTTGTCTTAATCTCAAATACACAACATACAGCCTTTTGAGTAGAACTGGATTAAACAATCAAAACCAAATTAAAAATTTCCCTGATTATAAAACTAATACAGGTTCATGATTAAGAAACCTAGAGAGTAGAGAAATAGAAAATAAAAGCTACCCATTATTCTGCCACTAGAGATAACCACTGGGGTCAATTTGGTATATTTCTCTACTTTTAAGCAAACAGCAGAGATATTATTTCTACACCTTTGTATTTTGCTTTAATGATGGTGTAGACAGAATTTTCAACAGTTCACTAACCGAAGTCTTAGAATAAAATGAATATTCTTGAATTTGGAAAGTATATAATAAGAACATATAAAATGTTAATTTTCAAATTTTCTAGTTTTAAGAAAACAAAATTTTAAAGCCTATAATAAAAATATTTGATACAAACTTTTGGTCCAGAAGGCTTACAAATTAGTACCTAACAAATGAGATACAAACAGGACTGGCTACACTTTAAGGAAACGTTAGTCGTTTGTACAGTTCCCTGACTTTTCTATTTTACAATACTGACACCTGATGGAATAATAAAGACATCACTGTTATAAATTCGGAACCTAAGAGTATTTGGCTCATAAGCAGTATGTATTAAACAGTCCTAATTTATCAAAGGTTAAAATAAAACGTATGGTGAACTAGTGAGAATAAAATGAGGCAACAGCAGCAGTGACTGAGATCAGGAGTCTTTCATGAGTAAAGCATTCCTCAATTATTCTGCCAATTTCTTTTTTTTTTTTTTTGAGACAGAGTTTCACTCTTGCTACCTAGGTTGGAGTGCAATGGCACAATCTCAGCTCACCGCAACCTCCACCTCCTGGGTTCAAGCAATTCTCCTGACTCAGCTGCCCAAGTAGCTGGGACTACAGGTGCCACCATGCCCAGCTAATTTTTGCATTTTTTTTTAGTAGAGACGGGGTTTCACAATATTGACCAGGATGGTCTCGATCTCTTAACCTTGTGATCCATCCGCCTCGGCCTCCCAAAGTGCTGGGATCACAGGCGTGAGACACCGCGCCCGGCTGGCAACTTCTTAAGTGTCTAAATGTCATGAGCAACATGTTATCTCATACACAATAACAAATACTTCTTCCTACTCTTTTAATCCTAATCCTAGCCAATGAATACAAATTGAAATTTGCTACATGCCCCCATCCCCCAATTATAATAGCCCAACACCCACACAGGAAGCATGTTTTGTATGCCTATCTTACCACTATTTTTATGAAATCTGGTTTTATCTTGTGATGTCTTTGTACTCTTTCCTGTGAATTGCTTTTTCCCTTTGACTTCCATTGTAGCAACTCTGGAAAACAAAAACCAAAACCAAAATCAATCACCGCATTTCTCCTCATCAGGTAAGAGTCGTTAAGTAGTCATTGCCACATTTAATCCTTCAGTTTACAAACACGATACAAATCAGCCAGATACAGAAGGGCAACTACTTAAATCCAGCAATTATGCAATCAGTGTCTCAGATTTTAAACTGAAAATGAACAAGGTACCAATACAAAAACTAAGAACAACACGCACCCTGGCCAGTGTTTGATACATACAAAAGCAACACTTCACTTCCGCAATAGTACTGGCTAAAGTAGACCACTACTGACACCAAGTAAAATAAGCATCAGAGTTTGCATTTTGTAACCTGGAAAGACTAGGGGATGAGTAACTGACAAAATTACAGCTTGATTTCTTGGAGCCTAAAAAGCCAGGCACAAACAATAGGCTGCAGGTACCACTACACACATTTAATATAAGACAATAAAGGATTATCTGAAAGATCCCTATGTAACCCAACACAGCTAAAACAAAGATTAGCATTCAATGTTCAATTTGTGCTTGTTTTAGAGGCAGTCAAGTAATGGGTAGTGAACTCCAAAATAAGATTATGTTGAAATATTTACTATTTCATCCAAAGGAATTTGTCTAATAGGTGATTTATAGGCTACTGAGACACCATGGTACACAGGATAAACATGTTATAACCCCTCACCTACCCAAGGTCCCTGAAAGCTGCAGAACAGATCAAGAGCAAAAGCCATTTGGCTCATTTCACTACTTTCCAAAGTTGGATGATCAACTCATTTCAAAGCTGACTCTAAACAACAGATGTTAGGGATCCCCAGACAATACCAGATACTTCTAGATTAGAATTTCCCATTCAAGGAAACTAATTTCTCAGGATATTAGCATAAGAGAAAAGAAGGGTTCAGGGAAAAATATATTTGGGACACAGTAAGTTAAATGACAACAATCAGCCCATAAGAAAATACGTAAATTTTAGATTCTTTAATTTGCTAATATAAACTATCCACTGCCAAGCAAAGGCTAAAGGATGCAGCATTTTTCAACTCCAGCTGAACCACTTTCTCCTGGAACATCGTAAAGGAAAAGCAGGGTTGCAAGGAGTACTCTCGAAAGTGCTGTTCTAATCTAGACTTTTCTAATGATTCTGAAAAATGGACAGCCCCTGAATTTCTCAGCTCAGGGCAGTCAGGACTGAAGGGTCATATTACTACTTGGCTATAGCCATCATAACCACACCTGCATCTCTTAGCTCTTCTATGCATGCAGTTTTCTAAGAATCCACTCATTTATGTATTTTCTCTGTACATTTGTTCTAATCTTTATTTTGAAATAATTTTAACTTTACAAAAGAGTTGAAAAGATACAGAGTTACCGTACACCCTATTCTCAGCTCCCCTCATGTTAACATATAATACTGTTAACTAAGCTACAGGGTTGAGTTGGAGCTTACCAGTTTTTCCACTAATATCCTCTTTCTGCACCAGGATACACTGAATCTGGCCATGAAGTCTCCTTTGTACTTTGTAGAATATTCCTCATTTGGGGTTTGCCTGATGTTTTCTCACGATTAGGCTAAGGCTACACATTTTTTGGAAGACTACTGGAGGTCAAGTTCTCTTCTCATAGTAACCTATCAGGAGGTACATAACATTAACGTGACTTACTACTGTTTGTTAACTTTAATCACTTGGTCATAGTGTTTTCCAGGTTTCTCCACTGTAAAGTTGCCATTTTTACCTTTCCATCTTTATTAGATGCAAGCCACCAAGTCCAGCCCAAACTCAGAGGAAAATAAAACTTCCCAGAGGGAGGGGTACTGAAAAACCCAGGCCTATGTTAAACCACCACAGCAATTAATAAACATTTTAGACAAGACGTTTGGAGAATACTTAGACATCCTATGTCCTCTTAAGTCTTACCTGCTAACTTTAGCATTGGTCAGTGGATTTTGCCTGCAGCAATGACTGCGTTTGTTTGAATGGTGATCTTCTATTTCTCTTATTATTTTTACGTATGTTATTTTGAACTTTTCAGTAGGGAAGACTTGTCCCATCTTTTCCATCTATTTACTTGTATAATATAGTCTCAGACATTTCATTCCTTGGTTATAAACCAATACCATTGTTATTTTGTTGCTCAAATAATTCCAGCTGCAGATAGTGGGAGTTTTTCAGGTTGCTTCTGTGTCCTTCTGACATGGCCCACATGTTTTATTTTGTTTTTTAATGCACAGCCTCATTTCCTGGCACTAGCTCCAGGTTCATTCTGTATTTTCCTTAACCTAGCCCTGAAATCAGCCACTTCTCCAAGGAATCCTGGTTTCTTTCATTGAGAATGGTATTTAAAAACCAAGATGTGAGTGCTAGGTGTGCTTGTTGTCACGGAGGTGTCCCTGTTTCTAAGTCCTTTCAGCAGACAGACTCAGGAAATACATATATGTATATTAACCTATGCACATGCACATACCTATATTTATTTTTATATCTATTAAAATAACATGAAGCTCATACTGATGTCTCCAAACCTAATCAGGCACCACAGGTTTCATTCCAGGCATCTCCTCTTGCTCATTTGTAACTTCTTTCTCTGACAGTGAGCAACTTGCTTCCCACCATCTACAACTTATTATACATATGTTCAACCCTACTATACACGTATGGTTTCAGAATTGCTAATCTGTACCCCATGAGAAATAAATTTACGACGACAGTACAGTGTTGATGTACAGTTCTTTTTTGTAGCCATTTAAAACATTTTTCCAAGTTACTTAGAGGCTTGCATGGTGGCTCACACCTGTAATCACAATACTTTGGGAGGCCAAGGAGTGTAGCTCATTGAGACCAGGAATTTGAGACCAGCCTTGCCAACATAGCAAGACCTCATCTCTAGAAAAAAAATTTAAAAATTAGTCTGGTGTGGCAGTGCACGCGTGTAGTCCCACGTGCTTGGGAAGCTGAGGCAGGAGAAGGGCTTGAGTTAAGGAGACAGATGCTGCAGCAAGCCATGATTGTGCCACTGCACTCCAATCCGGGCAACAGAGACCCTGTTGTTTTTTGTTGTTTGTTTTTTTTAAAAAAGCTACTTAGGGCCAAGCGTGGTAGCTCATGCCTGTAATCCCAGCACTTTGGGAGGCTTAAGCAGGTGGGTTACCTGAGGTCAGGTGTACGAGACCAGCCTGGCTAAACCCTGTCTCCACTAAAAATCCAAAAATTAGCTGGGCGTGGTGGTGCACACAGGCAATCCCGCTACGCAGGAGGCTGAGGCGGGAGAATCACTTGAACCCGGGAGGCTGCAGCGAGCTGAAATTGCACCACTGCACTCCAGCCTGGATGACACAGTGAGACTTCCTTTCAAAAAAAAAAAGCTACTTAGATCACCCCTTCACTCCCTCACTGTCTTTAGTGACGTTGTATGTTTATGATACAGCTTAACTGATTTGCCACAGTCTGCATTTCATGTCCAGAAATGCTGGCAGGTTTGTTAAATGTGCATATAGTCAAGTTCACTCTTCCTGGTGTATAATTCTATGGGCTTCAACAAATGGCTAAGAGTCATGTATCCACTACCACAGCATCTTACAGAAAAGTCCTACCCCTCTAAAAAATGCCTTGGTGCTGTTCCTTTGTAATTAACTCCTTCCCTCTTCCCTGACTGCCACCAATCAGGTTTTCATTCCTGTTTTGCCTTTTCCAGAATGTCATTCATGTACATGGAATTATACAATATGTAACTTTTCAGGATTTGCTTCTTGCACTCTGCAAATGCAATTTGCTCGGGGACCCTGTATCTTCATAACCAATCATCGCATTCCATAGTGTCTCTTTGTCCTTTCCTTCTATTACCCCATTCGGGCTCTGGTTACCTCTTGCTCAGATTATTTTCTTTAGATCCAATCTATTTTGAGCCACTTTCTGTGGCCTGACTAATCTTCCACTAGCAAACCTATTTCACGTCATTTCCATGCTCCAATAGCTTCAAAGCTTTCCCACTGCCTTCAGGAAAAAGTTCCAACTCAGGCATTCACAACCATTCAAAATGTGGTCCTAATTCAACTCACCTATCCACACGACAGAGGAGCCAATCTTTCTTCTTATCCTTTATCAGCATAGCGAAGTCTAAAGCCATTCTCTCTGCCAACACAATTCCTACCCATTTTTCAAATTCAGTTTAAATGACATTTTCTTACAGACCAACATCTAAAATGTTAGCATTCCTCAAATCTTTGTCCTAGTGAACTTCCCTTCTCTCTCCACACTTCTCCCTAGGTGGTCTCATCCAATCTCCTGGCTTTTTATGCTTAGTACTCCCAAATCATGTCTCCATTATGAACTCCTCCTTGGGCTCCAAATCTGTGTATAACTGCTTATCTGACACCTGTTATTATGTGTCTAACAGTCCCCTTACACTTAATATGTACAAAACTCAATTCTCTATATTTCTACTGCAAACCACCCACAAACAACATATTATTTTCCCCTGCCCTATTGTCCCTCATCTCAGCCAATGGCACATCGTCTACTTCACTGCTCAAGTAAGAAACGTACGAGTTACCCTTGACATTTTCCTCTCCCTTGTTTGCCCCACTGAACCATAAGTTCTCTTAAATCCCCCGTAAGTCACCTCCCTAATACAAACAATACAATCTCTTGAGATTCCAAATTAAATACATTTATCAATACAATACAATCTCTTGAGCTTCCAAATTAAACACATTTTCTAAAGAGAACCAGGGCCTATTCATGATTTTAACTTGCTTATAAGCCTTCAATGTTTTCTACACATGGTAACAGGAACGGAAATGTTTTCCTACAGTATAGAAAAAAAATCCCCATCATGATCTTCAAGGCCCTACAGAACCTGGTTCCACTCTATCCCTCTAACTTTATCTTGTACTCTAACTTTCACTGTACTTCTTCCTAGCTCCCACCTCCGGGACTTAGCCCATTATTGCCTCTGCTTGAAGTACTCCCTGGGCTTCCAGATCTCCAGGCTGCCTCTCTTCATGCTTTAGATTTCCGCTTAAAGATCACTTCTTCAGACTTCACTATCTCCCAAATCAGCACCCAGTTTGTTTCCTTCCAAGCACTTACAACCTGCAACTGTTCATTCAGACTGTAAACTCAGCATCTAGCTCTGGAGTAGGTGTTTGTGAAACGGCACAGGCTGATCAGACCGAGCACGGGCTGGGATTCTGGAGTGAAGCTAGTTCAATCTAACCCAGCACCAGGGCAACCTGCTGGGGGAGAGATCGGAGCCCTGCCCTCCTTGCCAGGCTCCCGTCAGTCCCGAACTCCTGACCCAGAAAGAGGTCACGGAAGAATGCCCAGTGGACAACAGCCCGGAGAGACCTTCCCGACCCCAGCGCCCGGCAGGATGCGAACCCTTCCCAAGAGCGACCGCTGAGCAGGCCACACTCACCGCACACGTGGGGCAGAAGCAGCTAGCGCGCCGGATACCCACCACAGCTTCGCTTCCGCTTCCTTGCTTTGCTCCGCCCTAGGGCCGCTTTTTTCTTCTTCCCCAGCAGATCAGTGACTAATAGGTGGAGCTTATCAGAAAAATACAAAAATTCGGAGTTCCCATTGGTCCGCTGCTGTTAAGCCGTCTCTTGAGCCGTGAGGGTTTTGTCCCTTAAAAGGATCCGTGGGGCAGAGGATGCGACACGGGCTACGCGAAATGACGTCATTAACCCTGTCGCTTCCGTGCTGGAAAGAAAAGGAGAGCTGTTGCGAAGGTGAACTTCGGTAGCTGAAGGAGAGATTTCACTGGCGCGGTTAATAAAGGACGGTTAATCCCATACTCTGAACTAATATTGAAGTAGCTGAAGTTTTTAAAGTGTGTTAATTTGTGTCATTTCTGAACAGTCCAGCATGGAGGATAACAAGGGTATCGTGAGTCGATTTGAACTGTAATGACGTTTTTTTCACTAGCTGTGTGGCTCTGGGTTAATTACTAAATTTTTCTGAGCCTTGGTTTCCCGATCAATAAAACAGAAATAATTAAGTTATACGTGCAAAGCGCTTAGTATGGAACGCTCTTCATAAATGTTTGCCATTTTAATGTCTGCTCATGCCTGTATAGTGCTGTTATTCCATATTCCACCTCAGGAAATAAGTTTGTGGTTAGGATATATGCCACGTTTTCCAGATGAAGAAACTGACACCACAAACTTGGTCGTGCCAAACAACAAAATTTTATTCTCTAACAGCTCCAGAGGCGAGAAGTCCAAAATCAAGCTGTTGGCAGAGTCTGCACCTTTTGAAGGCTCTATGCTTCTTCAGCTTCTGATGGTTCCAGGCGGCCCGTGGCTTTTGTATGACTCCAATCTCTGCCTGTCTTCTCATGGCCTTCTTCTGTGCCTGTGTCATCTCTCCGCGTGCTTTTAGGACACTGAACATTGATTTTAGAGTCCACGGGGATAATCCAAGATCATCAGATTCATCTGGAAGTCCTTAATTTAATCACATCTGCAAAGGCCCTATTTCCAAATAATGTCACTTTCACATGTTCTCGGAGTTAGGATATAGACATATCTTTTGGAGACTACGTATTCAACCCACCACATCTGGCAAGTTGAGGAACTGGCACTTGGTCCCAGGTGCCAGACTTGAGATTTTAGTATCTTCCAACTTACTCCGTTTTCTGCCCACTAAGGAGTTAGAATTGAAACTGGTAATTTACTAGATTCTATGCTTCTTGATGCCAGGGGCCATCATTACTTCCTAGGCACTTAACTCACTATGCAGCACATAGATACTTGATAAGTTCTTGTCTACCTTAACTGTTGCTAGTTTGTTTATATTTCAGCTCATTTAAGTCTCATAAGAACAGTTTTGAAGTAGGTCTTTTCTCATTTTACAGAGAAAGGCAAAACATAGTAGCTATGGTCCGGTGAGCCTGACTCTAAAATCAACGTGGCTGCCTCTGTACTCCTTTCAATAATTCAGTAAATGCTAAGAGAGTATGGAACAGGAATTGGAGGAGGCCCGTCAGCAATGCGTTTTGGGCAAATAGTACAGTAGTGGGGATATTAGACACCTTGAAACACCAGAGAAGTAAATGCTGGCCAGAAAGAAAAAAATCACAAAACCTACCTATCACACAACCCTGGGAAGGGATACATTTGTGTTTCAACTCGACAGATAACAGCTCCCCATATCCTTGAAGATGTGTCCATGTAGTTGCCTTAAACATCTATGCTAAAACCCTACTATTCATTTGCTTTTTTACCAGGGAGAAAAAAAAAAAATGTTACCACATACCAAAGCCCTCGATTGTTATTAATAATATTTTTATCAAGGCTTCTGTGAAAGTGGATTGATTTGGACTTTTTTTTTTTTTTGAGTGACTTGAAAGTATCTTGTGGTTTTGCAGAACAGCACAAAAAATATTCATCCTGTAATTTTGTTTTTTGTCAAGTAAGCTCATTAATTCTTCAAGTATTTAATGATGTAAATGTAGACCACCAGGTGTACTTGAAGCCTAAGATGCTCTTCTTGCATGATACACAATTTAATCACAGCAACTAGACTTGCACACATCCAAGAGGTTAATAACAGTACCAAAGCAATGCAATGAAGAGCATTGAGATTAGAATCAAAGGAACCTGGCTTAAAATCTAAATTCTGTATGGCCATGGACAAGATAGTGAACTTGTATGGGCCTCACTTTCTTCATATGTAAAATGGGAATAAGAATACTTGTTTTTGGAGTTGCTGTGAGGCTTAAAAGTGATAATATCTTAAAGTTCTTAGCCAATAGTAAATGTTGAGTGATTTGTAGCTTAA